CGGAGGACGGCGGGGGTGTCCGGGCTTGAGGCTGCGCCCGGGGCGGGGGATCCGGCGGTGGGTGCTGCCCTGCCACGCTGAGGGAGTGTCGGGACCCAGTTCGCCTCCCGGGCGTCCGGGGTGGAGAATGTGGAGTCCTGGTTTCCCGGGGCTTTATCTTGTCACCCAGTTATGCAAATAGAGCGTATTCCTTAGACACAATTAGATCACACTGGAAAGCGAGAGAAAAGTAAAAGTAGCCGCAGTCCGGAAATCTTAGTTTCCAGGCCTCCTGTCGTTTAAAACGTTGGCGCACAATTAAGCACGCTGACGTACGCGTGTATAAATGTTTTTATTATGAATGAGATCGTACTGTAGCTTTAAAAAAAAAACCTTCTGTTAGTATTATTGTGATGAAACAACTTATCGTGCAAAAATACACATAACTTTTGTCATGCACGTCATCAACATTTACCATTTTAACCATGTGGAAGTGTATAATTCAGTGGCATTTATTATACTAATTTCCTTTTTTTAGAAAAACTATGATCTCTTGAACTTATGGGATGTATTTGTTCCTCTTTTGGTTAAAATTGGTGCTGGTATTATGACACCACTAACATTTTTTTTTTTTGCCACGATGCTTAAAACTGTGTTTGCAGCTTATTTCTGTAGGGCACATTTATATGAAGCTGTATGCGGTCAACAAGTGGGGTTTGTGTAGAAAATGAGCAATAGCTTGTTTGTTACGGTGATTATCTTTCAGAATGCAAGAACTAGTGTATAAATTGCAGTTTCTAAACAAAGGCAGAGTTCTAACCTACAGCTTTTTGTAGTGTGGCAAGATTCTTTACACAGAGGCGGGACATCAAGGCTTCTTTGCTAGTGTTGTAGTCGAATTGCAAGTATTAAGGAGTCGCCATCATACTGAGAGTTAAATTTCAGAGTCCTTTATTGCCAGCGGTCATGCCAGGGAAACTCTCCACCCTGAATGAAGCAAGCAAGGGGTTTATAAAGGGCAAACCACAATTTCATAGAGTCCGGTGGGGTGCAAACAGGAAATTTTGGTTACAGAACAGTTAACAACAGTAACAATTACAGAACAGTGTATCTCAAGCAGTTACAGAACAGCTTATCTGGGCTTTCCTCCAAGCAGGATGTGGTTTACTGCTTACTGAAAGGTTGGGGTAGCCACACAGAGGAGTGGTGAGAGGGGAAACTGAGAGGCAAAATGGGAGATTTACTATAATTGGAGTTACCACAGTTGGTTTGCTAACAGGCATTTCATTCCCTCCTTTTAGTTCTTCATGAGTTAAAGCATTGACTCATCTATTACAGGTAGGGGGTTGTAATGGGCCCGCATATACATGCGTTTTACAGAAGTGATTCATTTTTTTTACAAACCGAACTATCCAATTTAATATACAGGGCCCGATGAGTAGGCTGAGAAGGAGAAGAAACAGGGGACTGGCCAGACCTGTAATTAAAGTGGTTAGCCATGGGTTCCAGTCAAACATGGCTTGAAACCAGGATTTGTTATTTTTTCTTTCCTTTTGTCTCCTGTCTAAATTTTCTTGGACTCTCTGGAGGGTGTTTTTGATGATTTCTGATTTATTGGTACAAAAACAACAGGGCTCTCCCAGCGATACACAGAGTCCTCCTTGAGATAGGAATAATAAGTCCAGACCTCATTGGTTTTGGAGCACCACCTCTGCTAAGGATTCAACCTGGTTGTGGAGTTGGTCCATGGTGAATTGAAGGTTACCTATGTCTGTGTCAATTTCTTGAGCTAGATTTGACAGTCGTGATTCACTGCGGACCAAGGCTATGGTGCTCAAAGCAGTGGTCCCAGCCACACTGAGACCTGGTAAAGCGGGAACAAGCAGGGGGGCTGCTCGTTTCCAGCAGGCCGGAAGACCAGGAGCAGTGAGTAAATGGGTTCCTTCCGGGCCACTGTAGGCATATACCCGAGGGAGTACATGAACCACAATACATAAGGTAGGCTTATTTTTAGTTTTTCAGTACTGACACATTTGGTAAGGCCTGTAGAACATGCCAACCAGGTGTTGGCATGAGCCATATAAGCCTTAGAGTCTGAGAGGGTTAGGGTGAGAGAGGGGTTGCAAATATAAACAGGAGACACAGTCAAATTGAAGCTTGAAGTTAAAGCACAAGATGCATTGCCAGTTATGTCTCTTACTGTGATGTGAATTACCTCTGGAGGTCATTTATTATTGTTGCTAACAATGGGGGCCTCAACCCCAATGCCTACATATTAAGAAGGTCTGGATTTTAAGCAAAGCCAATAATCTGAAGCTAATTGGGGCAGAGTAACATTGAGCCATCGATGTATGTTTGTTAGCATTGGGAGAAGACTGGGGGACTGTTGAGCTAGTTTTGGGTATTGCATAGGTGAGCCTGGGATAGTACCATTGTCTGTGGGGGGTGGAGGTTGGTGATAACTGAACAAAGCGTCTCCTAGTTCCGCCAGTGACCCTGTAGGCCTGGTCAGGACTTTGTAGGAGAGCGTATGTCACTGGATGGTGAGCAGGGCACTTTGGTTATAGCCAGTTACATAAGCTTGTATACCACAGGTGTAGCCTGTATCCCAAGAATAGTGGAGGGTATTGGTAATTTCTATGTATACAGGTACCTGAGTGGGTCTGGGTAGGAGGCCCACCAGAGAGTGATTTGGGAGGTGTCATTAGGTCCCCCATTGTAAGTAGTGATAGTGACACATTTCCAATATGGACAGAAGATGTGATCGGCCTGATCACATTGTTGGTCAGTGGGACTCCTGGGGCAGAGATAAAAGTCTTTTGTCTGTAGAGGGATGTAGGGAATCTGTTTATTATTAAGGGCAACAGAGTATAGCCAGGTGTTTTCTTTTTCAGTACTTAATAGGGACAGTAGGTCGAATAGTTCGACCTTAAATAACACAGACAGCTCCTCTCCATATGTCCAATTTTGGCTGGCCAGGACCTTCCCTGATGTAAAGGATGTCAGGGAAAAGGAATAGACTGAATGTTGAGCATCTCCATGAGGGAGAAAACAGGCTACGAAATACCACCAGAGCAAGAGAGTTTTAGCTTGAGGGGGTCTTGTCCAGGCATAACAGTTCATCATTGACTGTTGTCCTTGGCTTCCTTGGTACGGGAGTGATGAATCCAAGCAGGTATTCCATTAACCTTGAGTGCTGTAGGAGTGGTGAGGACAACAGTGAATGGTTCTTTCCATGCAGGGGTTAATCCCTCCTTCTGGAACTTTTTGATGTAGACCAGATCCCCAGGCTGGAATGCATGACAGGGTGTGGAGGATGTGGCTGGTAAAACGGTACAGACTTTGGAGTGTATGGCAGCCTGGACCTGTTGGAGAGACTGGAGATACTTTAACAGAGACTGATTAGTAATTTTTTCAAGTAACTGGGGTAGTAAGGGAGGAGTTCTCCGAAACATGATTTCATATGGGTTAAACCCAGCCTTGTAAGGGGTACATGGGACTCGAAGGAGGGCCAAAGGTAAAAGGCTTATTCACTTTTTACTGGTTTCCATTATTAATTTGGTTAAAGTAGTTTTTAGGGTCCAGTTCATGCGTTCTACTGCCCAGAGCTCTGTGGTTGGTAGGCATAGTGTAACTTCCACCTTATGTTTAATGCTCTGCTAACCATTTGAGCTCTGGACAAGGTAAAGGCAGGACCACTGTCAGAACCAATAGAGGGGGGGAGTCCAAACCTGGGGATAATTTCATTTAATAAGTATTTTGTGACCGTTAGTGTGGTTTCACTTTTTGTGGTAAAAGCCTCCGTCCACCTCAAAAAAGTATCTACAAAACCAGTAGATATGTGTAACTTGCATGAGGGGGTTTTACCTCAGTAAAGTTCACTTCCCACATTTCTCCAGGGCTCAGTCCCTAGGCCCTAACACCAATGGGCGGTTTTAGTCCTTGTCTTGCATTTACTTGTGCACAGGAAGGACATATTTTAGCGGCTGAAGTGGTGAGACCTCTTAGATTTTGGATATAGTAGAACCGGCTCAGCATTTCAGCCAGTTGGGTACCTCCCAAGTGTGTGGTAGAGTGAAGTTGATTTACCAGAGTGTGTCAAAGGGCAGCTGGAAGGATAATTTTAGAGTCCTTGGTTATCCACCATCCCAATGTCTCTTTTTGTGCCCCCGATTGGCTGGCCTGTTGTTCTTCCCCCTAGGTGTAGGTGGGTTGTTCTGGGAGTGAGGGGACGAATGAGTAGGATAGTGAGGGGCTTTACTGGGAGCTTCACTGCCTCCCGAGCTGCCTGGTCAGGTAGGCGATTGCCTATTGCCTCTGGAGTGCCAAATTTTTAGTGTCCTCTGCAATGAATGACTGCCACCTCTCGGGGGAGCCTTATAGCTCCTAAAAGGGCTAAAATTTCCTCTTTGTTTTTTATTGTCTTATCCTTCATGTTGCGGAGTTTTCGTTCCTGGTAGATCATGGCATGGACATGAAGAGTAGCAAAAGCGTACCTATTATCAGTAAAGATATTTACCTGTTTTCCTGTTCCCCAGTGCAGGGTTTGGGTCAAAGCAATTAGCTCAGCCTTCTGGGTGGATGTGCTGTTGGGCAAAAACTGTGACCATATTACATCCCGAACCGTGGTCACCACTGCACCAGCCTTGCGGACTCCCTTTACCACCAGACTGCTGCCATCTGTGAAAAGATCAACATCAGTTCAGTCCAGGGGAGTGTCCCGAAGATCGAGACAGCTGACTTGAGAGACATCGAACACATCCTTAAAATTATGAACTGGCATCTCTGGATTATCATTGGGCATTAAAGTGACTGGATTGAGGCTCTGAGTAGGAGAGAAAGTTAATCTAGACTGGTCCAGTAGGAGGCTTTATATTGGGTGATATGAGCATTCGACATTCAGTGGCCAGAGGCCTCCCGAAGTAGGGGCTCTGCAGCATGGGTAACGGTCAGGGTTAGGTTTTGACCAGAAGTCAGTTTTTCCACTTGCTTAACCAGTATAGCTGTGGTGGCAATGTCTCAAAGACAGGATGGCCATCCAGAGGCCACTGGATCCAACTTTTTGGACAAATAAACTGCCAGTTGCCACCAGGGTCCTAAGGTTTGGGTAAGAACCCCCTTTGCTATTCCCCACTATTCATGAATAGACAAGTGGAAGGGCTTGGTTACATCTGGGTGGGCCAAAACCAGGACTTGAGTAAGAGCTATCCTTAACTGCTGGAACTCTTGTTCTTCAGTGGCAGTCCATGTCAGAGGTTGATTCCCTGTTGTGACTGAATATAGGGGCTTGGTAAATTGCAAATCCCAGGATCCATGACTGACAGCATCCTGCTGCCCCCAGGAATTCCTGTACCTGTTTTTTGGGGGTTGGGGTAGGGATTTGGAAAATTGCCTCCTTCCAGGCCATGGTTAGGGTTCTTTTACCCTTTTTAGCCAATATCCTAAATAGGAGACTTCGGCCAAGCAGAGTTGAGCCTTCTTAGCTGATACATGGTAGCCTGGGTCCTGGAGGAGCTGCAACAAATCATTGTTGTCCTTTAAGCAAGTGTTTATGTCTGTTGTAGCAAGCAAGATATTACTTATATACTGGAGCAGAGTACAGAAGGTGTAAGGCACAGAACCCTGTTAAGTCCTGTTGCAAGGCTTCCCCAAAAAGAGTAGGGGAAGTTTTGAACCCTTGTGGCAGCCGGGTCCAAGTCAGCTGACTGGTATCCCCTGAGTCAGGATCCATCCATTCAAAGGCAAAAAAGGGATGGCTGACAGGATAGGGGATGGAGAAAAATGCGTTTTTTAGATCTAAGACAGTGCAGACTTGATGCTGCAGAGGAAGTAGGCTAAATAACGTATAAAGAGATGGTGGGATGGATAGTTTTGACTTGCCTGTTAACCTCTCTGAGGCTCTGGACTGGTCAATAATGAGACGTTCCTGGTTTTTGAACTGGCAAGAAGGGAGTGTTCCATGCCGATTGGCAGGGGGTCAGGATATTAGCCTTTAAAAGTCTTTTGATATGAGGAACAATTCCCCTTCATGCCTGCAAGCTCACATGGTGCTGGCATATTCTGACCGGGGTGGCTGATGCTAATAGACTCACCACAACTGGGGAATGGTGTTTTGCCAATCCTGGTGGGTTAGTCTGTGCCCAAACTAGAGGATGTTCTTGTTGTAGTTGTTGAAGCGAACAAGAGGATGTTCTTGTTGTAGTTGTTGAAGCGGCCAGAGGATTAGAAGAGGTTAGAAGGTACTCTTCAGAGAGAGGAACGGTTAAGAGCATTTGATAGGTAGGAGGGACAAACATTTCAGTCTTGTCTGGTGAGAACACAATGGTTGCTGTCAGTTTATGAAGCAAGTCCTGGCCCATTGGGGGGTAGGGTCAATCAGGGGCTATTAGAAATGAGTGAGTAACCTGTTTCTGCCCTAAATTAACTGTCTGGCTGGAAGTAAACCAACAGTCTCTGATTGTACCTGTCACCCCTTGAACAGCATTCCGTTTGTTTGACATGGGCTCCAGGGATGTTTGTAGGAGAGTTCTGTCCCAGTGTCTACCAGAAATCAGACCGATAGCTGCAGTTATCATGGGCTCTTAGGGGCCTAAAGAAAAAGAGCCCTGGCCCCTTCAGTCTGACTCATTTTCTGAACCCGCCCCCACAGTCGGCAGGGCCAGGACTGACTTCAGGCGGCAGGAACAGTACTTTTTTCAGTGACCAAACTCTTTGCAATATGCACATTGATCTTTAGCCAACGGGGAACACCCAGTCCCTTTTTGTCCCTTCCTGTTTTCCCCTTTTTTCTGGTGAGTTGGCTTTGAATTAGGCTGGGTGGCCTGAAGGGCAGCCACCATTATTTTTGCCTGTAGCTTGGCCATTTTATCTGTTGTCTAAGCCGCCTGTTTTTGTTTTTTGGCATCCTGGTTATTAAAAACTTTTTGGGCC